GCTGTGCCCCTGATCCTGCCCGCAGATGTTTGCAGAGGCCACGTCTGTGTTTGATCTGGCTTTTCTCATCCTCGTGGAGGAGATGGAGCAGGGCCTGAGCTCAGCTGGGGCTCCGATTCAGAGCATGCAGCAAACAGCAGAGCCCATCCCTGCCCCGGCCTTCCAGGGGGACTTCCTGCAGCAGACAGAGCCAGGGGTGCTAGATGCACTAGTGTTGCACTAGTTGCACTAGTGTTCGGAGGAACCGTGTGTGTGTGTGTGCGTGTGTGTGTGTGTGTGTGTGTGTGTGTGGTCCAAGCAAGGGCATTTCCAGGTGCATCCCAGTGTGTGTGTGTGTGTGTGTGTGTGTGTGGGTGGGTGTGTGTGTGTCCCAAGCAAGGGCATTTCCAGGTGCATCCCAGTGTGTGTGTGTGTGTGTGTGTGTGTGTGTGTGTGTCCCAAGCAAGGGCATTTCTAGGTGCAGCCTAGACCCACCTGCTCAGACAAAACCAGTACAGGACAGGAAGTCTCGCTCTGCTCTGACACATCAGAGTGCCGGCAAGGAGGATGTGTTTGAGGGAATTGATGTGTTGGGAGTTTCCAGTGCTGTTCTGCATGTTTGGATAAAATAATAGGCTCACCACTATTTTCGTTTGCGGAACTTTCAACTTCACAGTTTCCCTGTGAGCAGGTCTTTTCAGATGTGTTTGCTGTAAATTCAGAATAAATCACCCCAATCATTATTCTAAATTGCTTCTGTTCTTACAATTGTCAGCCATCTATTTTCCCGTTCTGATGATTTTTTTTTTTTGCTGAGCAAAACATAATTGCTTTGGTGGAAGATAACCCCGTGGTTGGCGTCATCCAAGATTAAAAATAGAACCGTGTGTTTTGCAGAAAATGCAATTAAAGAAGCAGCCTCTCCTTGTGCCTTGTCTTACTTCTGTGCTTAACTATTCTTTTCAGATGAGAGCGATTTCGGAAATAAAATTGGATCTTGATTTGAGATGATTTATATCGGAAAAGAGCCATGAATTATATTTGCAAGATAATATACACAATGTGCATATTTCACCCACAGCCAAGTTTCTCTATTACTTGCATCTCAGTCTGAGGAGGTAGAGTCACCTTACTCCACCATGGTGGGGTTGCTTCTTTGCAGTAGCTTCCAGGTCACTGTGTTGACTGCTCTGGAGTTGGAGGGAGCTCAGGCATGGTCCTGGCATTTCACTGAGGACATTTTCTTTCCTCATTCTCTTAGATCTTTCTTTGTTTTTGTTTGTTTGGTTGGTTGATTGGTTTTGGGTCATGCCAGCAATGCTCAAAGCTTTCCCCTGGCTCTGTGCTCAGGGATCACTCCTGGAAAGGCTTGGGAGGACACATATTGTACCAGGGATTGAGCTGGGGTCAGCTGCATGCAAGGCAAGCCCTGTCACCCCTGTGCCATCTCTCTGACCCCGTGTGTGCTTTTGGGGGGAACAGGTCGCTTCACATCTTGGAGCTGTCGCTTCTTTATCCACGAGAAAGGGAGGGGAGCATCTCACAGTTGGAGTTTCTGAGTGACTCTCAGAATTATCCCTTGGTTCCCTCTGAGAAGCCAGCCCAGCGCCTTCTGCCTTCCATCCATGTTTCCCTTGGGCATTGTTCTTCTGGAACATTGGGGAGGGGTGAGCAGTAACAGACTTTGGAAGGAAATGGGGAGGAGATTGTTCCTGAGCTAGATGTTGGGTGCGGGGTTGTGTTTGGTGAGCTGTGGCCTGAGCATATGTTAGAAGCTGCCCATTGTTGCTTTCCATCCACACTGCAGAGAAGCAGAGCGTGGGGTAGGGGGGAGAGATCGCTGGGCATAAGCCTGCACACAGCTAGATGCCTCTGAGAAACTGGCCTTGTCAGGGAGCCACGGATATTGTCCAGGTGGAAAGGATTCCCCCGAGAAGGGAGGAGCACTGAGGCCAGGGGCTCCTAATCAGCTCCCCTCCTGATTTATCAGTAAATAAGTAAAGGCCCCAAAATTCAAGTGGTGTGGCCGACAGCCATACTCGGCCCAGGGAGAAGGGAGTGCACTCCTCTGGGAATCGGGCAACATGGTGGGGAATCCAGATGCGGAATTTCACGATGAGGATCGCAGCAACAGGGAAGAAAATAGAGTGTGTGATTTCAGTCCTATATGGGATGGGCAGAGGGCAGAAATGGGCTGCAGAGCATGTGGGGGGGGGGCGGGGAGTTTTATAGTGCATGCCTTGCTTGTATGGTCACTCCCAGGAAAATGTTATAATGTGACTTATGAAAGAATCTTCATTATAGCGTGCCTAGTGACTCAGTTCTGGGTACTGTTTACTCAGGAAGGTGGAATTGCTCCTGCTAAATTCTTTTCAAAAAGCAGTTAACCTGAAATTGAGGAAAAGGTCACCAGAGAGGACAGTAGCTAGAGCATTTGCCTTGTCCATGGCTGACCCAGGTTTGATCGCCTACACCGCACACGGTCCGCAGAGCCCTGGCAGAAGTGATCCCTGAGCATAGAGCCAGGAGTGAGCCCTGAGCACTGCTAGGTTCGTTCCCTCCCCCAAAAAGGAAAGGGGTCAGAAATTTGGATTTGTCTGTCTGGAGTATATGTCTGCATTTCTGGGCAAGAATCCGAAGGCAGTCATAGTGTGCAGTGCAGACATTTGACAGAAAACACTGGAAGGAGCAGTCAGGATGGAAGGATTCGCCTCTCCAGGAAACAGTTTGAATTTTCAAATCATGTTTAAGGATCACATTGATTGAAAGACATCGAGTCAATATTCCTCGACTTGACTCGTTGCAAACACGCTTAGCTCTTAACGTTCCTGCTTTTGATGTGTTTTGAGCCACGAGAGATGCCCCTTTCAGTAAGCGGTGCTCCTGTGGTACCACAGAAAGTCATGCAGATGCTAAGTGGATGGCAGTAAGACTCGGGGGACTGTGATGTACCCGGGTTACATTGCCCACAAATGCCCTGGTGTTCATAAAAGGGCACTTAGCTAGGGGCCAGGATGTGGATCAGTGGGAAAAACACATCACATGCTTAGCATGCATGAGATCTGGGCACCGCAACTCAGAGCAACAAGGGATGTGAACAGGATCCGTGAACTGTGTGTTCATAAGAGATTGGGCCAGGCAAGGGAGGATGGCTGCCTCTCTCTCCCCTGGGCTTCTCCGACTTCTGGACTTGGGGCATCTTGAACTGGAGCTGGAAAGCATGGGGATGCCATGTTTCGACTCCCCAGGTGGTGCTCCAGCCTTGGTTACGGCAGAGGACGGGCAAGTGAGCAGGGGCCTGTGCTAGGTGCATGCCCAGTAGTAGTGCATGCTGGTAGTTTAAAGCCCAATGCCTTCTCCCGTCATCTCTGATGCCCTCAGAGCCGTCCCAAGTTCTGAGGGGGGGTGTGCCCCCACCCATGGAATCTACACGCTTCTGCAGCCAGACTTACCTCAAGAAGCTCAAGCCTGGGTGGAATTCAGACCCCTTCATGCATGTGAGTGTGGTGAGGCACAGAAGATGGGGGAGCTTCTCAGTCCAGACTTTGAGGTTCATCTCCAGGCAGAAGATGGCTGTTGAAGGCAGACTATTGGAAGGGCCATGTCCGAGGGTGCTAGGCGGGGGTCTCTGTAAAAGTGGGTTCCCAGGGCACTACGGGCTTGGGATGGGGGGAGGGGAGCGATGAATTCAAAATACTCCAGAGTCAGGTCAGGGCAGCCTTCTAGATGCGTCCTGGGGTCTGGAGCCTGCAGCCAGGGCGCTTGCAGGAGGGCCTTGATTCATCATCGTTTGCAGATGAAGGAAGCGATTCGTCTCCGAGGCGGACTCACTTGGTGTTGTCATGCAGTGGATTTAAAAGTTGATATGGGTCCTTGAATCTCCTGGCGTAATTATTCTCGGAGAGCTTTTCATTATACTTAATGCGATTTTAATGGAACTAATGTTCTGTATCAACAAAGACATTGTTTTTATTGTGAAGCGAAGACACTTTCAAAGGAGAGAATCAGAATGATCTGCGAGCCGTTCCAACAATGAAGGTGCTTTTCTAAGCCTGGTGACATATCAGCCTCCCTGGTATTTTCCTTCTCACTGGGGGTCAGAGACGGGAGGGGGAAGATGAGGCAGAAGACTCTGGAATGCATGGGGGGGGGGGGGGGGACTGGTTGTGATTAGTCCCTGAAACTCGCATTTGTATCTTTTTGTTTCGTTGCTTTGGGGCCACACCTGGCTGTGCTCATGACTTACTCCTGGTGCTGTTCTCGGAATTTCTTCCTAGCTCTGCTCAGGGATCACTCCTGGTGGGGCTCAAGCAACCGATGCAGTACTGGGTGAACCCTGGTGAGCAGCACAGCCAGCGCCTGGCCCCTGTACTAACTCCCTGGCCCACGGCTGTGCCTTTAAATACACAGACAGGCCCTAACCTACAAGTGTCTGGGAAACACGGGATCCCCTTTGGTAAAGATGCAGTCTCCTCATAAAACCCCACAAAATGAGCCGTCCTTGGCTTAGTCCTGCACTCAGTTCCTTCCCGGCTGGGGAGTTTCTTCGTCTCTTAGTTTTTAAGAGACTTTTCTGCCCTTCCAAGCCTGTGTGTGAGCCTCTTCATTCCTGGAGATTCTCACTCTGGCATTGAACCTGGTACACTTCTGACGCCAGGTCCCTTCGTCACTCCTGGGGCATCTCGGGCTCAGTGTGGGGTGAGTGGATGTGCTGGAGCCACTCTCCAGGGGGTCCTGGGGATCTGCATGTAGGGAAGGATCAGAGGGTCAGAACCCTTGGTTGTAAGGGAGGTGCCCCAGAGGCCCCTGGCCAACCAGGAATCGTCTCTACCACCCTGAGTCCATTTCAGTCCTTTGAGGGGGCGTCCCACATGGAGCTCTGGTGTCTGGTGTCAGGGTCCAGGACCCCCCCTACCGGCGGCTCTTGCAGTGTGATGGGTTGGTTCCCCGGGGCTGGAGGCCACTGTCTTGTGGTGTGGATCCAGCCGCGCTGTCTCACTGTCCTCTCCACTTCCTTCCAGGTTCTGCTCTCAGGACTCATCGGCGTGGTGTCCTGGAAGAGGCCGTTGTCCCTTGTGGTAAGTTGCGTGGTGTCCATATTGGGGTGCTGTGGGGTGGGGAGCAGAGGTAGGCGGGCCCCGCAACTCCTGGCTTCTTTGCAGATCCCCGAGGGTTCAGATCGCCCTGTCATCCTTGGTGCAAGTGTTTCCTTTCGGATTAGAAAACCCCTGCTCATGGGAGCCTGGAAGGGGCTGTGTGCAGAGAAGGGGGAAAGGGCGCTCTGGGATGGAGCCCTCCTGGGCCACATTGTATTGGCAGGAGCCGATGGAGGAGGGGTGCTCCAGGTGGATCGCGCCCCAGGGACGGAGTCAGCCATTGATCCGGTAGGAATATATTTATGCACCGTGTCCGGACTTGGGGAAGAGGTTTTCCGGGGTCTGATGGTAATGAAGTAGACGGCCTGACTCTGTTCTTCTTTTTGTAATCATCAATTATTCAGACTCTCTTCTTTAAGTGATTAGACTTGGGGTAATGACGCGTGCTAAATATTAATGGGTGCAGGCGGAAGCTGGCAGTCCGCGTGTCAGACTCCCTCCCTCCTCACCAGGAGCGTGAACAAATGTGATCTGGGGGAGTCCCAGGAACCTGCTGCTTCCTCAACTGCAGAGGGAGCGGGGAGGCTGACATGGGCCTCACAGTGGGGAGCTGGATGTGGCTTCCCCTTAGGTTTGGAAACTGGGGGTTGCCACCCATCCCGCTGGGGTGTCGCTGGCTGTGGAGATCATGAGATGTTTGGTAACAGTAAGAGGCTTCCAGAGGCACCACGGTCGGACGTTTATTCCGAACCCACTGCACTACGGCTCCAACGTGGCCCTGACACGCTTGCCTGGACGTGTCAGGAACACTTCGAGGATTTTAAGGGTGACTTTTAAGGGTCCAAAGGGGTCACAAAAGGAAACGGCTTAAACAGCCTGGATTTCAGCTGCAGGTCCGCGCTCCGCTGCCTGTCCGCAGAAAGGTCCGGATGGTTTACAGAGTAATTAGTGCCACTTAACCTGTCCCACCTCGTGTGACTGAGCTGGTCCAAGTGCTGATAAAAGAGGGCCAGAGTGAAAGGACGGCAGGCAAAGTGCTGGCCTTGCACAGCGCCAACCCGCCAAGGCTTAATCCGCGGCGCCCTGTATGGTCCCTAAGCCCTTCCAGGAGTGGTTCCTGAGTGCAGAGCCAGGAGGAAGCCCTGAGCACCGCCAGGCCTGACCCAGAAACAGAGGAAAATAATTCCTTCTCATAAACATTGGTGAGGAATCATCTGACTGAGGAAGCGTGCTTGGTTTCTGCCTTCGTGCTCCAGTGATAGTTCTGGGGCCCTTGGGTCTGGGGTATCAAGGCGATGAGAACCGAATCTGTGCCCACACAGATTGTCAGCAGGTCCCCAGAGAGTTCTGTCAGGATGCCATGTGACATCACTACAAAAGAGGCGACCCTGTCACTCAGAAAAAAGGTTCTGTGGAGCTGCAGCTCAGAGCCTCGGGGCAGAGCTCCCCAGATTGTGAGGCCCAGGGCTTGAGTCCCCAGCACCCCATTCACTGCCCCATGCCCCATGATGGCACTCCCACCCCTATAGCCTAGAAGTCGGGGTGTGCTCTCACACCACTCCCGGCCCCTCTACTTCAGATTCTAGGCTGAATCTTGACCTCTCACGTGGGCTGCTGCATTGACAAACCCCAACCCAGAATAAGGTTCACCCCCAACTCCAACACTGGACTCTTCAGGGCTGCTGGCCTGTGGCTCCCTCACCCCCCATCTTCTTTTCCCCTGCCTCATTCAGGAGACTCTGCCAGCTGGGGATCTCCCAGGTCCTCCCAAGCATGTTTTGGAGTCTCACACGCCAGTACTCAGGGAACCAGCCTGGGGACCACCCCAGGTTGGCTAAGGCCAAGGGGAGCACTGGATCCCGTGTGCCCTGCCAGCCCCCAGGCATGTCTTTTCTGTGGAGCCCATGGGAGTGTCACGAGAGGTGAGAGCGAGACGGAGGACACTTGTCTCTCTGGATGCAGCCATGAGGGGGTTTCCGCAAACATTGCTCAATCAGGAGTCAGAGTGCATAGCGCTAGTGAAAGGATTCTTTCAGAGACGCAGAGATGCCGGCAACGCCTATGAGCCCCACCAGGAGTGATTCGTGAGCTCAGAGCTAGAAGGAAGCCCTGAGCACTGTCAGGTGTGGCCCAAAAACAAAGAAAAATCATTCCTTCTCCAAAATATTTATTAGAAAGCATCTGACTGAGGAAGTGTGCTTGGGGAAGGGCCTCCCTTGCAGTATTCAGGGGGTCGGGGGAAACCTCCCAGCATTTCTGGGCCGACTGGTGCCAAGGAGGCCGTGCTGTGTGTCCGGCTGTGAGCAGGGGACTGAAGTACACTTCATCTCTGGGACAGGGAGCACCACGTGGGCCCGGTTCATGTCCCGTGGCTGATCAGCTTCTCGCCTTTGGGGAACATCAGTGAAGGGGGGCTCAGCCCCTCACTTCCCAGGAGGCGGATCTTTGGACAAAGCCGCTCATGTGCTCCGAGGTCACTGCCGTGACCTGTCTCAGTCCGGGGCCCTGTGGCAAAATCCTGGGCTGACCCTTCCTCTCCCACTGCCCTTCTGTTCCAGTCTGGAAGTCCGAGCCCTTGCATTGAGTTTTGTTTTGGTCATTTGTTCCCGTGGTTTCTCTTCCACACTGGAGTGGAATCAGACCCTGGGCTGTCTCTCCTGCTGCCTCATGTCACCGGAGCAGGAGACTCCATTCCCCCTCCCCTCCGGGACCCGTTGCCGGGCTGTCATTGGCCTCTGGAGCTGAGATGCAGTCCACGGTGCATATGGACCACTGGCCACAGTGTGAGCAGTTCACAGGGCATGTGGTCCACGGTGTGTGTGAACCACAGAGCAGGGTGAGAGTGGTTCGTGGTGTTTATGGTCTGCAATGTGAGCAGTCCACGGTGTGAGCAGCCCACAGTGTAAGCAGTCCATGATGCATGCAGTCTGCAGTGCATGTCGCGGCTTCATCCATGCATTCATATTGGCACTCAGTTTTGCGGCTGCGCTGCGAGGCGCAGGGGCTCCCCATCTCTCTCTCTCTCTCTCTCTCTCTCTCTCTCTCTCTCTCTCTCTCTCTCTCTGCATCTCTGTTCTCAGGGTCTGCAGATCAGATGCCCAATCAGACCAGCTGGGTCTGTGCCTTTTGTTTGGAGGTGTCTCCATGCTGCTCTGCAGAATAACAGTGAGCTGTGCTCGTCCTCCATGCAGGAGCCTCTTGGCCTCTGAAGCGAGTGGCTGCCCGTGCCCCTGCCCCTCCGGGTCCTCACCATCCTTGCTGCTGTTCTCAGGGTGGTGATGGTGCAGACCTCTACAGGGAGCAGCGGTGAGAGGGTACTCTGATCCTGCGGCATCACTGCTGGTCACCACTCAGGCCCACCCAGCCCCAGCCTCACCTCAGAGTCTGCCACAGCCACAGCCGCTTCCCTCTGGGCCGCCCTCACCCCTCTCTCACCTTCGGCTCCAGCAGCTAAGGTGGGCAACGCTGAGTTGCCTCTTGGGGAAGCCCCACCCACAATCTGGCGTGATCCAGCCTTGATCCGCAGGTACTTGAGGTTCCAGGTTGCATACAGGGCAGGGGGACCCCGGTGAGCCAAGTCACGGTGGGTTTACCGGACAGGATTCCAGAAAGGATGGACTTGAGACAGAACATTCTGAATGTAGGTGATCCTTACCCTCTCTCCTGGGTAAGGCCGGGGAAGAATCAGCCAAGGGACCCGCCAGGACTTAAGCAGGGGCCCACACGTCAAGGGGGCCAGGGGTGCTGGGGGTGATCCCCAGCCCCACTGGGGATGGGGCTGATGGCCACCAGGAGTGCCCCCCACCCAGAATAAAAGGGAAGTACATCCCCAAATAGAGAGAGTGGAAATCAGTGGATCCGGACACCTAATCGGCGTGTGCCAGTGGGCGAGAGGGGCTTCAACAGGCAGAGTTGGCATGTGGCAGCCACGGGCTCGAGTCCCAGTGCCTCTTGCAGGGAGCAAGCTCTGAGCACTGGCAGCAGCAGCCCCAAAACAGAACAAACAACTTTAAAAAAAAAGTTCACAAACATGATAGACAAGGACAGTAAAAGAGTTTTTTCAACTGAATTCAAGGTATCTGAAATGTTGATGCAATACAGGGAGATAGAAAAATGAAAACCTGGGCCAGAGCGGTAGTCCAGGAGGGAGGGCGCTTGCCTGTGACCGACCCAGGTTCGATCCCTGGCACCCCATAGGGCCCCCCAAGCACCACCAGGAGTGATTCCTGAGTGCAGAGCCAGGAGTAACTCTTGAGCATCGCCAGGTGTGACCCCAAAAGAAAAAAACAGAAAAATCAAAACCTAGTCAGGCTGGGAGATAGGCCATGGATTGAGCACTTGCGAAGCCATGGTGGGGCCCTGGGATTGATCTTCAGCACTGCGTGCACCCCAATTTCCCTGCACCACTGGCCACACCCACCCAGCACCTCGAGGCCAAAACCTTAGGCCTGCATTGTGCAGTTGTAGTGTGGGCTGGATGGACAAGGGGGGAGAGAGAGAGAGAGAGAGAGAAACAAGATTCCCTATTTGAGAGAGAGAAAACAAGATTGCTTCCTTTTTAAATAACCCAAGTTTTAAAGATGGATTAAAATACCTAATGCCAAGAGAGAGAGGGGCCCTGGGATGAGATGAGCCAAGCAGGTGAGGGGCGGGAAAGGGCGGGAGCAGAAAAGCACCAGAACTGAACACAGAGAAGGAATGAGCTGAGGCGGGGGGGGGGGGGGGGGGGGGAGTCTAAGGAACTTTATATAGGTGGGCACAGAGCTCCTGAAGAGTGAGAACGGCCAGGAAAAGGATTTGAAGACACAGTATCTTCTCCAAGTCTTTCCCCCCAGAATTAGACACTGTAAACCCACAGATCCAAGACTCACTGGCCCAGACAATGCACTGTCCTGTCCTCCCGTTGTTCATCCATTTGCTCGAGCGGACACCAGTAACGTCTCCATCGTGAGACTTGTTGTTACTCTTTTTGGCATATCGAA